GTTTTAGGCAAAAGCTTCATCCCGCTGACTGGTGGAGGTAATCCTGGGGTCGTGTGTCTTGCTGAGAGTTTTGCTTACAGTAAAATACTGGCAGAGCAACCTGGATGATGCAGACTTTTGGGACAGGAGCATAGCATGTCCCTCCTTCCCTGAGGAGTGATTCTGGAAAAGAGGCTCTTGTTAGCATCTGCATTTGCACGCCACTCCTGGGGGGCCAGGTGTGGCTGCAGCCGCTTGGGGTCCCTCACCTGCCGGAGTCCTCACTACTGCCTCCTGTCGAGCCAGGGACCCTGTTTTTCAAGGTGACTGGACATTATGACCAAAGACCCTAGAATGTATGGAGAAGTGAATCTAATGGTCATCATTCAGCTCGTATCTATGGAGCATTTGCAGCGCTGGGCCCTGGGACAGGTACAAAATGAACTGAAATGTGTGTAGCAGGTCCTGGAATGGAGGAATAAAAGAGGGCTTGGGAGAGCAGAATGAAGACAGAAGTGCCAGAAGGCAGTGCACCTTTACTGAGGTCTTGCAATATGCCAGATATTTGGTAAACATCACCGGTAATCCTCACAATGACCTGTCAGTAGGAGTTATTACTCATCCCAACTCCTCCTTGCCTGAGAACTAACAACGTGTATTCTTAGGCAGATTAATTTACCTCCGTAGGCCTCAACTTCCTCCTCGGTAAAAGGGGAACTCCTACCACACATGTCCTTGTTGGGAGGATTGAATTCTGTTTTAAGCACTTTTGCTTCGAAAAGTAGGCCCTCAATCAGGGTCATGGTGATTATACCAGAGAAGGAAGCTGAGGCTCAGACAAGATCACTAGCAGACAGGAGCTCAGACTAGGGAGGAGCTAAAGGGAGGTAGAATTCGGTTCAACATAAAGATGAACTTTTTTTTTTTTAAAGATTTATTTATTTATTTGAGAGAGAGAGAATGAGAGAGATAGAGAGCACGAGAGGGAAGAGGGTCAGAGGGAGAAGCAGACCCCCCGCTGAGCAGGGAGCCCGATGTGGGACTCGATCCCGGGACTCCAGGATCATGACCTGAGCCGAAGGCAGTCGCTTAACCAACTGAGCCACCCAGGCGCCCAAAGATGAACTTTCTTATAGCTCTGGCCATAGGCATGGGAGGGAGTGGACAAGTGGACGATGCAGAGGGGGCTCCCACCCTGGGGTGGGGGTGAGGGTGGCTTAGGTGAGAGAAGATCCCCTCCCTGTGCTCTCCTCCTCCTCTCTCCCCACAGCTGGGGCAGAAGGTACCTAGCAGATCTTTCCACCCAGGTGCTGTGAGCAGGTGCCTGAACCAGAACTTGACTCTGACATTTGTTGCACAACTGTGAGCCTCTCTTTGGGCCTCAATTTTCTTTGTTATCCCATAAACAAATATAGCCAATGCAGTGTGTGAACTGTGATAATGTGACTGGGCAAAGGATTGTTGTCTTCCAGGACTGCAGATCAAAGGACTAGGTCAGTGGTGAAGAAGCACTGTAACTTGTAGAATTACAGGTTAAAGTTGAGAGAGACCTGCATTCATCTAGGATCAGCCAGGAGCCGTGCTTTGTGGTTTAGAAAGCATTTTCATGGGCTTTATCTTCTTTGATCCTCTCAACACCTCAAATTTACAGCTAAGGAAATGGATCCAGTTAACTTGTATAACTTAGGCAACCTCGTACATCAGTCTAGAGCACTGACTGGAGGTGGGAGAGAGGTGGGGCTGGGCTGGCATCCCAGCTCTAATGGGGCCACAGGCAAGTCACTCTAACCCGGTGTAGAGCTTGATGCGAAGTCAGGTGTTCAATAAGTGTTAGCCAGCAAACAACCAGAAAGCACAGCTGGGAAGTGACAGGATTGGGCTTCTGGCTCCCATGTCAGTGCTCTTTGTCCCACACTAAGCTGTTTCATATCAAGACCCTCCTCCCTAGTTCATTTCAAAGCCAGGGCACCCCAGGTTGAACAAGTGCACCATGCACGAGGAGGCTGGCAGTGACGAGGCAGCCTGGTCTCAGAGAACCTGAAAGAATTCATGACTCCCCTGGGGTCAGAGCACCGGTGGCCATTGGGAAACACTTCCCTCTGACTGGCAGGTCAAGCTGAGGAAGGAGGGGGTGGGCTCTTGCGGAGGCAGTCTCGGAGTGCTGAAATGCCAGGGAGCTGGCGGGTCTGTCTTCGGGCAGCTGGATCACCTGATATAGACACGGGTGCTCAAGCCCTGGGATTGGCCTAAAGAAGGGTTGTGTGGCCCCACTGGCTGGGCTTTGGCATGCTGTCAAACTGCTGTCACATCCAGACATAAAAGTAGTGTCGAAATAGTGCTGGGACAGTGTGCTGGGCTTAGCAGGCAAGCAGCGGCCACCATGCAGGTGCAAACCAAGCACTACCCCAAGAACTGCCTGCTGACTGTCATGGACCGCTACTCAGCCGTGGTGCGCAACATGGAGCAGGTGGTGATGATCCCCAGCCTCCTGCGGGACATGCAGCTGAATGGGCAGGGGCAGCAGGCTCAGGATGGGCCCCCCGATCTCTATAACTGCTTCACCATGCTCAAGGCCATCCGCGTGGATGTGGACCATGGGCTGCTGCCCCGAGAGGACTGGTGGTCCAAGGTGGCAGGTGCCAGAGCCCACGAGGCCGAGCATGAAGCTGCAGAGACAGAGGACAAGGAGGAAAGGGTGTTGGGGCAGCTGGACCTGGAAGCTCAGTTCCACCTGCACTTTTCCAGCCTTCATCACATCCTCACCAACCTTACCCTGAAAGCTGAGGAGGTGACAAGGAAATACCAGGAGATAATGGGACAGGCCATGTAGGCCTTGGACTCTAGGGAAGGTAATGGTGGCGTTGGTGGGGATCAGAGTCCACTGAGGGACATTCCAGGGGAGATGCAACCCAGTGGGAGTGGGAGAACCTGGGTCTCAGACAGGCACCCTCACTTCTGGGTATTAGGGCCATAACCTGGGAGGGCTCAAGGCTAGGCCTGTCTTACTGTCTTGACCCAGGCTTGGTAAGTAATGGCCATGAACTGCAGGGTGACAGTAGGAAAGGTGGCCCGTGAATGCATACCTGTGTGCACATGTGTGTGCTTGCACATTCGTGCATTTACTAGTAAGTATGTGAATGCTTGGTCAATAGCCCGGGTTCAAGTTCTGACTCCACCATTAAGGCCTTGGTTTCGCCGGCTCACTTCTCTGGGTTTCCGTTTCTTCACTGAAGAGTAATAGTAGTGGTAAAAATAACTACTGGCATTTGAATGGTTTTATAGTTTAAAATCACTTGCATGTCAATTTTCTAACGGAACCATCATTCCCTTTTACAGATGAAAAAACTGGGGGCCTGAGAAGTGAAAGGAGTCCAAGGTTACTCATGGAACGGCAGAGCCAACATGTGAATGAGCCCTGGGCTAACTCGAATCCAGTCCCCTTTCTCTATGCTAGTGAACTGCCTTCGCACCTTAGGATTCTGCAGCCTGGCTGCAGGTGGGGATTGGGGATGACAGGGTAGAGAGAAATCCCCCTCTTTGTGGGTCAACTATACTTCAATTAAAAAACAAACAGGGCACCTGGGTGGCTCAGTCGGTTAAGTGTCTGCCTTCAGTTAGGGTCATGATCCCTGGGTCCTGGGAGCGAGTCCCACATCCAGGCTCCCTGCTCAGCGGAGACCCTGCTTCTCCCTCTGCCTCTGCTCTTCCCCCCTGCTCGTGCTCTGTCTGGCTCTCTCTCAAATGAACAAACAAACAAATAAATGTTTAAAACAAACAAAGGAACTAGAACAAAAATCCAACTTGATGGGACGCCTGGATGGCTCACTCGGTTAAGCATCTGCCTTCAGCTCAGGTCATGATCCCGGGGTCCTAGGATCGAGTCCCGCATCAGGCTCCTCGATCAGTGGGGAGCCTGCTTCTCCCTCTGCCGGCCGCTCTCCCTGCCTGTGCTCTCTCTGACAAATAAATAAAATCTTTATTTTTTTTTAAAGATTTTATT